TATAAAAAAAAAAAGATTATTCGAAAAATAATTAAAAATTTATAAAAAAAATTTTTTTGAACTTTATTAAAACATAAAATACAATAAACAAAATATATTTAAATACTTACTATATATTGTTTCTCAAAAGAAGATTATAAGAAATAAAAATTATTAATGAAAAAAATATAAATCTATTCTTCCATGATCGACCTCTCGCAAGTAAACTTTTTTTGTAATTTCGAAGTTTATTATGTGTGTAAATATGTTTGTTTCCTTTTTTGGTAGGTTAGACGTAATATCTCTATAAACCTTATTAATGAAAAGAATTACAAATTCCAAAGTAGCAAATTTTAAATAAGTAAATTTTTAAATTATGAAAAAAATCGAATTTATTCAATTTCGCATCCAAAATCACGTCAGTCCCCCTTAGGTAATGACATGGCCTTTTGACCATTCAAAGAATTTGTCTAATCATTTATCATTATTTAAAATCTTTGTCATTTGATCACATGCATGTTATAATTAAAAAATAACCCGAATCCCCTTCTGTTGGGTTAAAACCAGGAACGCTCGAAGTTTAGGTCATTATCCTGTAAGAATGCTTTGGAAATATGGCTTGTATGAATCTTTAGTGCTCAAGTCAATCAACGGAATGAATTAGCAGTATCATGGATATATTCCTCACTTCTTTATAATAGCAACTGATTCAAATTTATCGTTATTTAGGGTGGAATAGCATATAATTGATAATGCTTATAATATAATAATATTGAGTAAATAATTTAAGTTGGATGAGAAGTAACTTCACGAAATCGTTTACAAGATGAGAGTTTGGTTTTACTTCTCATTACAAACAACCTTAGCATCGTAGCATCTGTTCCTTCTGCTTACATTAAAATAAGTATTCCCTAAATGGTTACGTTACGATTTCGTCATTTAGGTACGGTACTATAAAATTTTTGCAGGTACGAATATTTTTTACTGATCATACCGTATCTATAACTCTGTAAGTATATATAATTATTATTGATATTGCGTGCATGATACGATCCTATTTATTTAAAAAATGTACCTGCAACTTTAGTACGTACCTGCAACTTACGTATCTGCAACTTTATTTATACAATACAGTACAAACATAGACTTAATTTTAGCGATCATACAATAAATTATACTTAAATTTTTTTTATTTTTTTTTTTAAATTGTAAATATCTTATTAAACTAGCGGACTTTAAATTATCGAAAAGAATTGAAGCAACAAGTAAACAACAGTCAAAGGTCTTTGGTATACTTCCTTATGTTGATCCAAAAAGATTTGATAGGCAGAGAAAAGATGACAACACATTGCAACAATATACGCTAAATGAAAAAAGTGACGTTTATAGTGTAATGTTGGCGTACTGTTATGGGAGATATCAAGCGGTCATCCTCCTTTTTATGTTAATATGAAATTGGTTTAGCTATCGAAATTTTAGGAGGACGTAGAGAAAGGATCATTCCTGGCTTACCTGAAGATTATGTGAGCACTTACACTGGTAAATATATTATGATTATGAATTTATTTATAAGAATATAAATGAATATTAAATATTTAACCTAATTACAGGGTGCTGGGATAATAAGCCGGATAATCGTCCATCAATAATCAAGTAGTTGATAAATTATATGCAATTGTTATGATAATTAACAAAACAGAAAATAATTATGAATCCAATCTTCGATAACGTTTTTTGAATAACATCAATTCTACTTCTAATATAAATAATTCATCATCTTAAATTTTTCGATTTGATCAGATAGATCAAATTAATTTAGCTCATATTGAAGTATCAGATATTATTTATGATGATATAATTGAAAGTTTAACTATTACGGAATTTAATAAGGATGACATATTAAACTCTTTACAAAGATATCGAAAATTAACTAAACTCATTTTTTATGAGACTAAAATAAATAGCTTACCAACTTTACCCAACACCATAACGAAACTTAATTGCTCTTATACTCCAATAACTATCCTACCAACTTTACCAAACTCCTTAAAAGAACTTTATTGTTCGGATACGCAAATAATCAGCTTACCAAATTTACCCGATTCTTTAACGGTTATCAACCCCGAATCCTTAAAATCTAAAATACGACAATAACTATTCTTTGCGTTTGAAATAATAGCTTTAACTTTAACCAAGATATTATTTGAGTTATATTTATAATTATAACACTCTGAAAGTTAATTTGGATTATTTTTATACTTTATGAAGATCAGACAAAATTGTGAGAAAACTTGTTACAATTACATTCCTTGAGCTAGACAATTTGTAATGTTACTTTAAATATTAAAGAAATTTTCATCAAACTTTCTCTCTTTAACATAAAATATTTTTTAGCAACATTTTATATGCGGCTAATGGTTTAAATTGAATCCACTAATTGTATTTTAAATCAACTAATGAATTTTTGTACGCCTATTTTATCTATCATCAAGAAATGTTCAAAAATACAAAAAAATCAAACTTTATTTGAATCCTTTCTATAAATAATTTGGTTTTTGCTTTCAATCTTTTTGTTTACGTAGATGTTTAAACTTTGTCGGAACTTTATGATATATATATGTAGAATTACGGCCATTCACACAATGATTTATTGAATAATTAGATTGGCTAAAAATAGTGCGTGATGATTATTTTAATCCAAAAAACCTGGAGCTATAAACCATCTTTTTTTTAATAGAATTGCGCTAATTTGTTAAATTTTACCATTGATTAAGTAACCAAGAAGTTTGCAGAACGCATACTTCCAACTTTCCATTTACACCATGGATTTTCAGCAAGATTATTGCCAACGAGTCATTATGTTACTACTTATAATCAAATTCTTATGGCAAATAAAAAATGTCAGAATGTTCAAAATGCAAAGAATATTCAATATTTATAATTGAGAGAGGTGCGTGGGACGGACTATATCTCTACATTGAACGATTAAAATTATCTATACCTCCAAAAGAGTAATTTTTTAATCCATTTTAATCTCATTTTTTTTCTTTCGAGTTATTACGAATTTCTAAAACTCTCAGATTTAGACGGGTCATAGGCAAAACTATAAAAAGTCAGACTAAACCTTCGAAGCTCGAAATCAAAATAACATCTCGTCAAAAGTCAAAATTATATTAAAGACATATTAACAAATACATCGATATATAGAGTTTCTATTTGCTAAAATGAGTTTTGCTAGGCAACTATATTAAAGGAGCTTCTTTCTTATGAACAATGGACCATAGGCTTGATTTTTTAAAAAAAAGCTTAGCATGCAACACAATCACAATGATGCATAACACAATTGTAAATAAAGAATAAATATTTATTCATTTTAACTTGATCACCAGGCAACTGTATCTTTCAGTCAAGACAGAGAGGTGTAGTCAATATCAAAACTTTAGCTCGGTAAATTTTATCTTTTTTTAATCGTTAGAAATCGAAAAATTGAAAAAAAAATTGTAACGTATATTTTTAGAGGAAAATAACAACATTACACAGGAGGAAGAATTTACACAATAGAGTTAAAATTTGTCGTTTGAATACTATAAGTTATATTTAGATCGAGTTTGATACTTCCAAAGAATTAATGATTCTGAGATTCTTTTGGATGAGTTAATCTACTTTTGGTTCATTAGTTACTTGCAGCTTATATAATTCTACAAGCTATTACAAAATAAAGTTTTTTAATAATTAAGTGATAAAATTTTTATTTGCTTCAGCAGTTAGTTGCTCATAATTAAATTAAGTAGAAATGCAAATGTAATTAATTAATAATTTAGTTAAAGCAATAATGGAAAAGTATTAGAAACAAAATGAGAAAGTAATAAAGCAATTAATTAATAAAGTTAGTGGAATATTACCAGATAAGAATTGCGTTATTTTACAATCCAACACCATCCCACTGACACAACATTTTTAATATTCGGTTGCTGCGGGCTTGAAGCGATCGAACCTGAATAATAAAGTAACAAGATAATTACAAATAAAACCGGCGAAAAAGATATCGAGGCACAAGGAAAATGTAGAAAAAATTTAACTAAAAAAGAGATGCATCGCAAAATAATAAAGTAAAAAAGTAAATTATAAATAAAAAATGATACTGCAATAAATAAATCGATGGACACAAGGTGCCCGAAAAGGTGAGACCTAATAAATAAAAATAAACAAAGTAAAATTGAAGAAATGAGAAAACGCTTGCCGACTTTTTTAATCAATGCAAACAACGTGATGCGAAAGAAAAGAATAACATTAAAAGTAAAACTAATAGAAATATTCTTAAACGAATTGAGAAAGTGATGATGAAACCAGAAAACAAAAAATTAAATTAAATTAAAATAAAAAAATTAGAAAAGAGCAACTTGCAATTAATCGATTTACTTCTTAGGATCGATTCCAATTACATTCTTACTAGTAATGCAAACCTAGAAATTTATAAGAATAAATTTTACGAGAAAAACTGTTAAATTTATTTACATGTTTTAAATTATAATGTAAATAAATCTAAAGAAATTATCTACATAAAAAAAATTACTGTTCCCGATACCTTGACAAATAATTGTTTAAACAAAATAATTTTATTTTGAGTACAATGGTCAAATGTTTTATATTGTTCCTACGATAATCGATCATGAACCGGTTTTAAAATAGTTGACCCAAATTAAGACTTTGCCCGAATTACATTAGTTCAGGTTAACCTAGTGATGCCGACTTAACTGAAACCAAAATGATTAAACAGTATATTAAACAGTTTAACATTTAACATTAGCCAGTTATTTCAACCGTGAAATGCTATAATGATGGTTAAATGTAAATTTGATTAAACTCATGTTTAAAGTCAAGATTAACTTTCATATGTAAAACGTGTTTAAAAATAAAGTTGTTTTGACAATATATTATAATTTTCTCTATAAACTACTAAATGACTGAAGGCTCAACTTCGTTAAATGTATTATATCAAGCCGATACACGGCAGGATCAAAATGAAAATCGTAAACGGGTTGGAGGTCGAACTAGAACATATTGGAATTATTATAACTAGTTGTCCCAATGCACATGGATATCGGAGCGCAACTTGTAATTATTGTCCAAAGCATTGGGGACGTGATGCCCAGGGGAAATGGAAGTACATCTTGCCAATACATGTCCTGAAGTTCCCAGAGAAATTAAAATACAAAAAGTTCTAATTTAAAGCAGCCTAATCAAACTGATGATGAATCAATCGAGCCATTATCAATATATGAACAAAATGAAATTGACAAAGCGGTTTTAAAAGCATGAAGGCTGCAGAAATTCCATTTGTAACAATTGATAACCCATTTATAATTGATTTGTTTAAATGACTCAATCCATCATATAATCCACCTGGTCGTACAACACTTACTAGCCAGTTGTTGAAGCAAGAAGTAGCAAGTGTTAAATTAAAATTTATGAATTAGAAAATGCAACTTTATAACGCTTGGTAAGATATATTAATATATTTCATTAAATTTACTTATTGGATGCTACAACATTTAATTAATTATTATATAACTAATTATTATATAATTTAGCTCTTGATGGATGGAATTCACCAAATGAAAGTTCAATTTATAATTTTATTGTCTAAACTACTAATCATCGAGAATACCTCATTGCACTTAAATATTACTCAAGAGTTTCATAAACAGGGTATTTTTAGCTAGTGAGATTGAAAATATTATTGAAAAAATTGGACTGAACAAATTTGCCGGGTGGTAACAGATGGTGAAAATTCGAGTTGCACGACACAAAATTCATGAGAAATTTCCACAAATCCTTAATATCTTATTTCTACTGATATAACAAAATTACATCTATTGAAAGGCTGATTACTAAAGGAAATGAAATTATCAAATTATTTGATATGTCTCATCATGTAAATGCATTATTGAAAGAAGGATTAGAAAAATTGCAAATTAAAGGAGTGAATTAAAAACATAAATTAAAACACAATGGTGTTCTCTTTGGAATATGAAAGATTCATTATTACGAGCACGTCCAATATTTGAATGGGTAATTTTCATTTATATTATTAATATGTTGTTATTAGAATAATTTATAACTTATATATTGTGTTAATTTAGATTAAACGTGAACATGCTGATGTATTAACAAATCAGAATATTTCTAATTTCATTGATGATGAAGATTTTTTTTCGGATGTGTAGAAAAATATCATAAATATTTAAACCTATCAAAGAGGTTATTAATACAGTAGAATCAAAGAACAGCAACATGACTGATTGTTATATTGGATTAATAAAGTTAGATGCATCAATTAATCAAATATCTGACGAAAATAGTTTAAAGATGGATGCAATCAATACATTTAACCATCGATATAATAAATTTGATCATAATACTTATTTAATTAGCTTTCAAAAATGGAATGTTTTGAAAAATTTGAGAAATTGCAGCAGATTATTGACAAGCTTTGGGAAATGATGAATATTCATGCTCAGATTATTTAACTGATCTTTGAAGTACAAATGGAATGAGGTTCCATATGATCTGAAATACAAAAGTAGACGTGAAACTCCACTTGACTGTGGTTTACATTTGATGAAGAAGAACAATCTTGTTTAATTGATCTTGCAGTTAAATTATTTCAATTATGCATTCTCAAGCAGGATGTGAATGAAACTTTTCAACTCTAGGATGGTTCTTTAGAAATCGCCGAAATAGACTTAGCATTGATCATGTTGAATCAATGGCAAAGGTTTGATCCTATTATTTAGCTAATATTAAGAAAGAATTTGCTTATTATGGAAAGAATTATCCAAACAAGTATTAAGAGATTCAGTAAATGGTGCTATAATTCCAAGTATTGATGAGCATTTATTTCAACTGAATGAAGCTTTAGAAAGCCAAGTACTGCTGAAGCAACAAATAATATTCTTGTAACTTCGGAATTCATTGACCTTACTAATCCATCAATTTTTCCTGTTCCTCGACCGCAAACATCGATGCGTAACAATATAACAAATCAAAATCAGTTCAGAAATGTGAATTATAAAACTCGGGATTTAATAGATAGAATGTTTGAAGAACATGGTGAAAGTTAACGATCATAATATAAATAAAGCCAAATACATTCGATGTGCAGTTAATAATATATAAATAAAGGCGAAAAAATTTATTTCATAGTTGACACGGTATTTTAATATGTTAAAACTATTTTAACACTGTTTGTTTTTTGTTTTAATTATAACTTGTTAAAACTTCTTCAGGTATCACTAGGTTAAATGAAGGGATTATTCACAACATGATCATGGGCGTCACAGATTTTCAATAATTTGACTGCCTGAAACTTTCACAAACAATTATTCTATTCGCAGTGTAATAACAATGTCCGAGGACAAAAGCAAGTCTACCGAGATCAAAGTCCTCAAGTTATTCTTAAAGGTATACTTTTCGTAATGTAAGACCGTATAAAAAAAATTGTCCAGAAAATGCTATCGAAAATGTCCGGGTGCATGTGGAAAATGTCCGGAAAATGTCAAAATCGTCCGGAAAGTGTACCAAAACATGGTGGATTTCGGACATCGCGTGATGTCTTATTGTCTGGAATTTATACCGAAACATGATGGATTCCGGACATTATCTGGATACTACGGCAAATTCTGGACAAATTCCAGAATTATTTTTTCATAGGGAGATGCTGATTTTATAAAACAAAAAACCTAAATGATTTCACAAGCATTGTCGCGAAGAAGTTGAAGCGTTAAAAAATGTTGACTCACAAGAGCTTACATTATTTTTTTTTAAATAGTCAAGAAATTGTCAATTGCTAGGAAAAAAGAAAAATTGATCAAGCAGATATCGAATACGATTCAATTTAAACTATCGTAAACTACTGGATTTGCGTTCACCATACTAAATACGAGCCGAAATAAATAAGGAGGACTTAATATATTGCTCATATCCAAATTCTTTGTTAAAAAAAAATTGGGGTAAAATTAATTTTGTCATACGACAGAAGTACATCAGAAACAGTGAAGAACGTTCGCGGTCAAAATCTTGGTCACGAAGACTTTCAATTTCCTGTTATTTTACTAGTGGAAGCATTACTTCAGATTAGGGATTGGAATCGATTAATCGAAAATCGAAATGAAATCATATTAATCGTTAATCGTATTTCTTTTTGAACGTAAAATGACATATATAATACTCAGCACATGATGCATTACAATTATAAAAAAAGAGTTTAACTATATGGAGTGGAAGTTGAATGTTTAGTTACAATGAATGTAAAAAATTTTACAAATATTCATGTCAAAAGTTAAAATAATCAAATTATTATAAATATTAAACCATTAAATTATATAAATTATAAAATTTTATTAAAGAAATTTAATTTTTGCAATAAAATTATTAGTTATATTGAATATTATTAATGTAAAAATTGAAAAGAAATTTATGAATAAGTTATTAAAGATTCAGAGAACTGGACCGCTTAGTACGGTTTTTTAAAAATTTTGCATCTCTTCTTTTCTTTATATTCTTTTTGGATCAGACAGCTTCTGTAAGTATACTATGAGATATTTTTAATTTGACTTCCTAGTTTTAACGAAAGTTTAGGATTTATTCCGGCTGAACCACATTTTATTAGTGTAAATGATCGTTGAATAATATATTCAAGATTGCGGTTATTGAAAATTAGTGGGTTTAGGAAAGCAAGCAAGAGCAATGTTAATTATTGCAGCGAACCAGAGGGTTTTGATTTATTTCTCACTTCGACTGTAGGTAAAAAACTGAGATATAAGAATTTGGTTCATAGCATTTTTAAATTATTTGATCTTTCAAAATTTAAAGGTCCTGCTTCAGTCATTTCAGTGTAGAGATCGAACAATATCTTTTCTTACCAAAAAAAATTGGCTGTCTCTTTCTTTACTACTTTAGATTGGATCCATAAAAGGTTTTTTTTTTCTGATTATTTTATTATGACACTTAACATTTTCCTTTGTTTTAGAAGATTTCTTTTGGGTTAATTGCATGGTTAGATTTTTTGATATTATTTTATTTCATTAAATTTATTATTTTAATTGGTATGCGTTGATACTTAATAATCATCTATTTAGGGAAGCGGTATTATTTTTTTAATAAAAATTAAAAATCAAAATGATTAAATATAATTATATTAATTCATTAAATTTTAAGGTTTATTGCAAATATGATAATTGCTACTCTATAACCTTATATATTAATAAATATGTAATGAAAATTAAATTTAAAATATGAACTATTTTAATTGCTGTTATAATTTTCTAGTTTTTTTGTAATTTAGGTTTTTTTATAACTTTTATTATATTTAAATGTTAAATTAATTTAATAACTTTACCTTAAGAAATTTCTAAATCATTTTGATCTTCTGAATGAAGATTTGAATCATTATATATTTCTTCATTATCTAATTGAAAATAAAATAATAAATTTTTAAGTTTGATAAACAAATAATTAGATTTATCACTTCCTTACCATCACTTGCTATAAAACTTCTTTACATATAATAAGCCTTAATTTTATCATTTATATGATTATCTTCTAAATAATATATTTATTGTTATAAGATATTAAGAATTAATCAAATTTTACAAATAATTACCTTTATCATTACTATGTTTTATTATTTTTGATTTAATTTTTGAATCTTCTTGATTTTCTAATTAAATTAAATAAAATATGAATATAAGTATATCATTAATTAAAATATAATAATAATGAAATAACTCATTAACACTAGCATAATATAAAGAATTCCTCTTAGATTTGCTAATATTTATATCTATTAATATTAATTACATAAAGTTTTAAATTATTAAATTATATAAGCTAAATTTCAAAATAAATATTATAACTATTTATTCTTACCAATAGTTGTATTAAAAATATTCTGTTCAATATAATCTTTAATTATTTCTTAAGATAATTAAATTAATTAATAAATTTCTTATAATTAAATAAAAAATTAGTATTACTTACTATCTGAAATATTTAAACTATTTTGCTTGCTATCATAAGCTTATTTTTTTACAAAAAGAATATATTAATTTAATATTAAATTAAACTTAAATATTTTAGAATTTTTTAATTAAATAACCTTCTTGTTCTTCTATAAACTAAAAATAATTAATATAATCTATAATTAATTATAAGCATAATAATAAAATTTAATAGCTTACTTACCTTTAGTGGCATTTTTGGATTCAGGTAAATCTTTAAAATTATAAAGTTTACTAAATTTTTTGACTAATGAATTAATAGAGTTAGAGCTTATATTAGTTTATAAACTATTCAAATTAATGCTGCATTCTTCATTTTTACTTTGATAACATAATTTACACATTTTTGTAATATTTTTATGAAGGGTATCAATATTAGGTCTTTTTAATGGATCTGCATTTCAACATTATATCATTAAATTTTTATATACTAATGGAGTTCCTGATACTACTTTTGGTCTTATTCCATTAACAATATTCATTGCAAGATTATAATCATGATTATAATTAGCAAAAGGCAGTTGTCCTAATGAAATCTCCCATATAAGTATACTGATACTATAAATATCTGATGCAAATGTATATCCTTTTCCAATAATAACTTCAGGTGCTATATAAGGAAGATTTCCATATATACTTCCTAATTGTTTATCAGCAGGACCGCAAAATCCAAAATCACTAATATTCCAACTATTAGAATATTGAGTATATAATATATTTCTAGAATGCAAATCTCTATGAATAGAATTTTCTTGTTGAAGTCTTAAAATTGCTTTAATTATTTCAAAAGATATTTCAGTTCTTTGTTTCCATGTGAGCTGATTGTGATTTTGTTGTAAATATTTTCTTAAATCTATGTCATATAAATGCATTACTAGAAAATAATCTTTATTTTGTGGATCTTGAGTAAGATCATAAGATTGAACAAATGATCCTAATCTGCTACTTAATATTAATTGAGATTCAGCCTATAAATTAGAATCAATTAGTTAGTTTCTTTTTGTTTTTCTTTTTTTTTATTTATAAAAAGTGTCAAATTTTAAATTACATACTTCTTCAAACCAATTTCTATTAGCACTTTCAATATTTTTAATCTTTTAAGTATTACTTTATAGCTTCCATATCTTATTAAATGTTTTCTAATAGAATCCCAGTCATAATACTATCCATTAATCCAAACTGCTGTATAGATTTCAGAGCATCCACCTTTAGTTAGATAATCTCTATTTTGTAAATTATTATATGGTATCCACTTTATTATTTTATAAGGAGTAAATGCTTCCATCTGACATCTCTGTATTAAATTATCAATTTCATTATTTCCAGATGTCCATTCTGAAAATTTGGCTTTTAAATAACTTCGAATACAATGTTCACAATATGATATTGCTAAACATTCTTGTTTGCAGTTATCACAAACTCTTTTAATTCCTTGATTTAAAGTAACTTTGCAATAGTCATAATCTTCACTTAATTCTAATATTGCCTTTGATTTTTCCTCTTTTGTGAGAGATTCATTAGCGTAAATTGTTTGTTGCATAAATTCAAATTGTTCGTCTATGTCTGTATTACAATCAGTAAATGCAAAAGCTTTATTCACTGCATCATTAACCAATTCCCTACGAAAGGAGGCCATAGTACAATGAAAAGAAAATAATTATTCAAAAAGAAAGTTTAACGGGATTACGGGATTAATACTCCGTGTTTATTCCAAATAGAATTGATATGATCAACACTGTACATCATTATTTGCATGGCACGTGTTATCACGTGATTTAGTCTTTAAATGAGGTACAAAAATAAAAATGTTTTAATCGATTAAATTTTATATTATTTTGATTAGTGTATGACAAGAAAATCAAATATATTCTTATATGTTATTTTATTTCGGTTGAAATAATATTTACCATGATGAGAAACGGATAATTTTTTAATGGTTGAGATATTTTTTAACTTAGGACGTGCTTGAGAAAAGGATTTGATTTTGTTGTTAGTTTACTTAGGTTAAATTTTAGACAAATACATGTAACATGTCATTCTAAATAAACCTATAATTCCAATCT